TAATGATTATAAACAGGCGATGATCCGGACTATTCAATCCGCGATTTGTATAACGCAATCGCTAACAAACAGTACCCCTCGTGGACTCTTCACGTGCAGGTCATGACCTTCCAAGAGGCCAAGACTTGGAAATTCAATCCGTTTGACTTGACTAAGGTTTGCATATTTGGGCCCATATTTCACTTTTCTAATTGTTTGTATCGCTCTATAAGGTGTGGCCGCATAAGGAGTTCCCACTCATCGAAGTCGGAAAAATGGTTTTGGATCGCAATCCCAACAATTATTTCGCAGAAGTGGAACAAATGGCTTTCGAGCCCTCAAACCTGGTGCCAGGGATTGAGACCTCACCCGATAAGATGCTTCAGGGAAGGCTGTTTGCCTACGCAGACACTCATCGACACCGGTATTAATATCAAGGACTAACTGTTCGCTTTAGACGTATACAGTATTTATATCTGTTATAAATTTAACGCATAGTTTGGGCGCCAACTATAATCAGCTGCCGGTGAACCGTGCGAAGTGCCCGGTTATGCACCCGACCCAACGGGACGGCCCCTACTGTTACGACGACAACACCACTAATTTGCCCAATTATTGGCCCAACTCTTTCCTCGACACCAAATGCAACCCTAAGTTCAAAGAGCACGTGGATGCCAACGTCGCCGGAGATGTCGATCGTCACGACTCATCCAACGACGACAACTTCGATCAGGTGACCGACTTCTGGAACAAAGTGTTGACCGCTGATGAACGCATACGATTGGCCACTAATATCGGCGAGCATTTGGCTAACGCCCAGCCCTTCATTCAGGAGCGGGCTATCGGTAACTTCGAGAAAGTTCATCCGGACTTCGGCGCTAAGATCCGTGAAGTTATCAAGAAAACCAAGGTTTGCAACGATTAGACATTGTTTTTAGTATTGATTTGTTTTTAATGATTTTTGTTCGTTGTATTAGAGCTCAAACCTATAAATGAAAGCTTGTTTTGGTCGCAAACATTCAAGCATTTGGTTTGTGGATTCAATAAAACATATTCAAGATCTTAATTGAGTTATGGTTTCTATTATTTTATGAGTATAAACTAAATCTGTTTATTACTTCTATGCATAAAAATCAATGTTTTTACTATCAAAATGTCAAAATTTTTTATAATAATTAAATTATGTTTTATATTTGTATAACACTTT